TAGGGCCACCCAGAAAGGAATATGGTTTTTGACATATGACGCTGGAGTTCTGCTTGAACGCCCCAGCCTTGAAGCCCGAAACCCTAAGTCTCTCAACGCCCCCAACCTCTAAACCCTACATCCCTAAGCCATCTATAGCCCGATAATACCCCTAAATCCTTAATTAAACCTAAACCCTGAACCCCAAACNNCCCCCCCCCCCCCCCCAGAGTTCTGTCAAGCTTCCGCAATGCTTGATGGATCCCCACTTGGCGGCGCCGGTGCCACCAGACATGCCGGAGATGGTGAGGTGGTCGGCCTGGATTTGGGATTCAGGATGTAATGAGGGTGTAGGGATAGGATTTAGGGCTTGCGGGTTTGGGCTTAGGGTTCAGGATTTGGGGTCCTGGATGAGGGCCCAAAGAGCCTTCTTACCTTAAAGCTGCATCAGACCTTCAAGCCCGTACCCATTGACAGGATTAGCGTAAGGGTCTTGGATTTAATGCCCTACCCACCACCCAGGGCATAAAACCGCTAACTCTGCACAGTATGGCACACTGCCCTGAATCCGAAAGCCTGCCAAACCGTGTGCCTGGACCTTAGCGCTCACAACTAAACCTTACTTTGAGATTCCCACCCCTAAGCCCCAAACGTCATACCACGAAATACCATCAAAATCAACATCAAACAAACACTGAACCCTAAAGCCACAACCCTACATCCCTCAATCCCGGAAGCCCCGTAGCCCTGAACCCTGAGCGCCAACCCCACATCCTGAGCCCGCTGCCCTATGCACCCCGCAATAACCCTGAAGGGCTTGGGGTATAGGGTTTAGGGCTTAGGGTCTAATTAGGGTTCATGCCGCAATTTGTGTTCTGTTTTCTGCGACTTGTGATGTTCCACTATAACGCCTAAACACCCCAAAACCCTACATACCACCATGTATCGTTATTAGGATACCTTATCCCTGCATCCCGATACACCCTTTCAATCGTTTTCCGCCAGAACTGCCGAAGCCCTACAGCCTAAACTCCAAGAATCCGGATTTTCCACATCTTTCCCTATATCCCTCGTGTACACCTACAACGCTCTGAACCCTCAACCGCAACCCTAAGTCCTAAGCCCTAAATCCCAATCAAACTTCAAGCCCTAAGACCTACCTGCAACCCCAATAACCTACAGTTTGATGGGTTATACCTACTAACTAAGGGATACTTACTACTAAACTGTAGGTTATTGGAGCCACAGGTAAACCTTCAACTCCTAAACCTTGAGCCTTAAGACCTACAACCCAAAACCCCAAACCCCTAAACTCCAAACCCTAAACCCCTAAACCCCTAAACCCCAAAACCCAGAAGCTTAAGAAACTTCTGAACCCCAAAGATTGCCAATGGGCCTTGCCCTTGACCACGCCGGAGGCGATGACTCCAATACCCAGTCGAGCCACCAGCTTGACCTGAATGCTTGGGGTGTAGGAGTTAGTTTAGGAAGTTTAGGGTTTAGGAATGAAGGGCTAGGGTTCAGGGTCTAGGGTTTAGGCCTTATGGTTCAGGTTCCCCTACTACCCCTAAGGGGATGTGTGGAGTTCCTGCCTGTGTCAGGGCGTTGGGAACCCTCAAAACTATGCCTGTCCGGAACCCCTCCGACTGTGGCAGGTCCCCGAACACTAGACCGCCTTTAGCATTCCTCCTACAGGTTGCGAGTGTAGGCACCCCCCCGCCCACGGCCCCACTGT